TGCTCGAACAATACGTAGGGGACCATAAAAACTTTGATCAAATTTCTTCTTAGCGAAGTGCTTCACAAGGACGGCGTCACCTGGAAGAAATTTATTTTCGTCGATTTCATTCTGCTTGTCATAGGTAGAAGCCATAAGACCTGCTGCTTTCTGTTGTAGACCATGTGCTTTGCGACGTATTTCATCAATCTGATCAAACTGTTGTTGTCTGTAAGCTGAGTAATCATCTTCCGTTATGAAGTCGAATAAATGAGGGTGAGAAGTATCTCCAGGGATAACTGGATCTAGACCATAAACCAGTTTAAAAGGTGACACTTTAGTGATAGAGTGTATACGAACTCGACATGCGAATAAGGCTTGTAAAATGTATCTGTCCCAAGCTGTACGATGATTTCCGACAAACTTGTTAATCATTGTGCCTAATAAGCCGTTAAATCGTTCGCACTTTCCGCTGGCTCGGGGATGGTATGCAGATGTTAGTTGATGGTTCGTACCCATCCGATTCATATATCGCTGTAAGGTCGCTGCCGTGAAATTTGATCCACGGTCTGTGACAATTTCAGATGGACATCCAAACTGCATAAAAATTTCCTCATAAATAAAGTCAGCAACTGCCGATGCAGTCGCTTCATGCACAGCACGGGCTAAGGGCCAGTTGGTAGCATAATCAATTGCGGTGATAATCCAACGATTGCCATTCTTGGTTTTCGGTAGGGCTCCTATGAAGTCCATTCCCCAGCGCTGAAAGGGCAAGGTAGGCTCTAGAGGATGTAGAGGTGCAACAGTGGCATCTTGACGGGCTAACAGCTGACATTCAGGACAAGCTGAGACCATTGTTATAATATCAGCACGAAGGGTTGGCCACCATACACGAGTTGAAACCAGATCGAATAAGCCGTTTCGGCCAAGATGACCAAAGCCAGCATGATACATATATAGAGTATCAGCTCGATTGACGAAAGGAACAAATGGGACTGGGCCGTGTTCTGTTATACGACACAAAGTATCGTGATCGACTTGGAAATGAATTGCTTCATCTCTTACTAGTTTAGCAGATTCATCATCTTCAGGTAAGGATCCATCCTTGAAATAGGCATAGATGTATAAAGGCCAGTCAACATTATCAGCGGCAAAGTCTTTTATAGATGAAGTAGTTGCAAGAGAGGCAACTGTTGGTGTAGATAAACGAGACAAAGCATCTGCGGCTGAGTTATCGACACCTCGACGATATTGAATATCAAGATTGTAGGGCGCCAAAAATTCAATCCATCTGGCCATACGACCGCTCAGATGAGGTTGATTAAATAAAAAGCGTAGGCTAGCGTGATCAGTGAAGACGGTTACTACTGATCCTAAGAGGTAAGAGCGCCATGCTCCACATGCTCGGACTATGGCCAATAGTTCCTTTTCATGGACTGGAAAATTTTTCTCAGAATTAGAGAGCTTGTGTGACACAAAAGCAACCGGGTGAAGACGGTTATCGATCATTTGTGAAAGAACTGCTCCTGTAGCAATGTCAGAGGCATCAGTTTCCACAAAAAATGGCTTAGAAAAGTCTCCGGGGTAAAGAACTGGTGTTGAGGTAAGCAATTGAATCAACTTGTCCATGGCTGCTTGATGGCTAGGAGTCCATTGTGGTAAAGGTCTCTTTTTGGCATTGTTTTGTCCTTCTTGCTTTAATAAATCAGTCAAGGGGCTTGCAATCTTGGCGAAGTTGCGTATAAATCGCCTGTAGTAATTTGTGAAGCCTAAGAATGAGCGTAATTCTTGAACATTGGATGGAGTGGGCCAATCTTTAAGGACTGCAACCTTGTCTGGATCGACTTCAATACCTCGAGAGGATATGACATGACCCAAGAATTTGACTTCAGATACACCAAAGGTACACTTGCTGGGCTTTGCGTGAAGGGAAGCCGATTTCAAAGCTTCTAGAACCAGCTTGAGATGTTGAACATGCTCTTTCATAGAAGAAGAGAAAATAAGGATGTCGTCTAAAAAGACAACAACGAACTTGTCCAAGAATTCCTTTAAGACATCATTGGTTAAAGTCTGGCATGTAGCAGGTCCTCCTGTGAGACCAAAAGGCATGACTACGTATTCGAAATGGCCATATCTTGTATTGAAAGCAGTTTTTGGAATGTCTGCAGGGTGAATACGCACTTGATTAAAAGCACTTTCTAAGTCTAGCTTGGAGAAAACAGTAGCACCAGTAAATCGATCGAAAAATTCTTCGATCAAGGGAAGTGGGTACCTATTCTTGATTGTGATTGAGTTCAAAGCTCTATAATCAATACACAGCCGGAGGGAACCATCGCTCTTGGTCACGAATAGAACAGGGGATGCCCACGGGGAAATGGAAGGTCTGATAAAGCCTTTCTTAAGTAAATCATCAAGTTGTTGCTTTAAAACTAACAACTCTTTTGGGGACATCTTGTAGGCTCGCTTATAGATCGGGCGTGCGTCTACTGTATCAATGTGATGATCTTGAGGTCTCTGTGGTGGTAGAGTCGACAATGGAGTGAAGACAGAATTTTCATATTCGTATAAAAGCTTCTGTAGTGTAGGATCAATATTGTTGTCTTTAATAACTTCCGCTAACGAAAGAGCAGAAATTTTCGGAGTCGATTGTTCATCTTGAAGAAAAACCAAACCCAGGTCTTGTTGATTTGACACAGCACGCTGGATGGCTCGATGAGTACACAACGAATCCATTTGAGGTTCCGAAGAAAGAACCTTTGGGGATGAGTCTTTGGAAGAAGCCTTGTATGATGCTCCATTCACAGTCCAAGTCAAAGTTCCTTGAACATAATCAGTATTTGGATTATACTTCTTTAACCAAACCAGGCCAAGGTAAATGTCTTGACTTAGGATATCAGCCACGCAAAATTCCTCGTCATGAGTAAAGTTGCCGATAGTAAATACGAGAGTGACTAAGCTTGTCAACTTTACGTTACTAAGATTGGCTGTAGTGGCGATTGTTGGCCGATTGAGTTTTGTTTCTTTTTTTATGAGCGAAGGATCATATGCGCGGATCCTGTTAAGCGCTGTTGTAGAGATCGCGTTGCAATTGCATCCGCCGTCGATAAGGGCAATCAGCTCAGTTGAGCCGACGTTCGTTTTGATGAAGATCTGTTCAGGCAACATTTTGATGTGATCTTCTAGTGGTGCTGATTTATCTGTCATTGTAGTAGGCTCAACGGTATGAGCTTGTAATTGATTAACATGGGCAGATTTGTCAGGCTTATTATCAGGCTTTGTAGGGCAAGCGTACCCTTTGTGATCTGTCTTGCCACAGATATAGCATGACCGGGGACCATTGCCACCGTTTTTGTAGCATTGTACCTCAGAATGGCCGTGCCTGCCACAAGTAGGACAAGGTGGACGTCTTGTTCTGAGGGAATCTATGTCCATAGTAGATTCCGCAACATGGTCATGGTCTTGATGACGGTCTTGATGACGGTCTTGGTGTTGTTGTGAATTATTTTGATGAGAATTGTTTTGATGAGAGTTATTTCGATGATAAGTGGTATGTGAGGTTGAATGTCTGACAAAGTCATTATTTTTGTAAGATGCTTGATGTGGAGGAGGAGTATGAGGTTTGTCATTGGATCTTGATGCCTTGTCTAAGAGTCTCTTTGCGTCCCAGTTATGAGATTCTGTGCGACAAACATCTAGGACTTCATTCCAGGTCGTGGCGTTCTCTTTCTGAAGCTTGCGCTGGAGCCATAAATCTGCGACTCGACGGAAGTTCCATACTTTTTCTCCTTCGGGAATTTTATCACGAAGTGGATAGTATGCTGCCTCGAACTCACGGACGAATTCCATAACATCTGAGTTCGGTTTCATGGATAAATTGTCGTACTTGTAACGTAGCTCGAACTCATCATCCGCCTTGGCAAATTGTTCCTTAAAATCTTGAGCGAATTTTTTCCAAGTGAGGATATTCTTAGTCTCAAGATCGTCAATGTGTCTAAGACTCCAATCACGTGCGATCTTTTCCATATGTAGAGCAACACGAACTGTAAAGAAGTTATCATTGACGTTGGAAATTTTGTACAAAGCGTCCATAGCGCGTAACCAGGATGAAACATCCGTCTTGCTATCGAATCGTTCAATTCCTGCAAGATTAAAATGCTGATTGGTTGTAGTTTCCATATTTACATCACCATCGGTGTCAAGAAAGGAATTGGAGGATGTGGTCGTGGTAGAGGAGCTTGCGGTGCTTTGAACGTTGATATTGGATGGGGGTTTCATTGTTGATAAATAAAAGGTCTTTGTTTGAAAAAAAGGGCAAATAAGGGGATGAATAAATAAAAATGTGTGTAAACAAGTAAAAAGGTAACAAATAAGGAAAGAGATAAATGAAACGGAAAAAGAAAGCTAAATTTTTTTTTTTTTTTTTTTTTTTTTTTTTTAAAAAAAATATGCGCGAAAAATAAAAGTGTGTGGTGAAGGTAAAGAATTTGGTTGAGGAAAAGCAAAAAGTTTGTAATATGATCACAACAAAAGGATGAATATGTACAATCAAAAAGTGTCAAGAAGAATAATAATGGAGTAGTAACTAGGTCGCGTTAGAGGTTAAAAGAACCTTTGCTACCATTTGTCGTAGAGCATCTACTAGTGATCTCTGGAAACTAGTAGGTAATGATGAAAAATGAAGAATTGGGCAAGAGCCTCGTGGTTTTGGGATACGATAGTGATCCTAAGTAATGCTTTGAATGATTTTGAGGATGCTGCAAAAGGGCATCGATAATAAGAAGAGAGATCTTTAATAACTGCTAATTTTCTGAGAATTCATAATGAGAATAATGAAGATAAACTCACCTGCAAAAGGGCATCGATAATAAGAAGAGAGATGCCGTTTTTGCAGTGAAGGAAAAAGCTACTTAAATACTATTTAAAAATGGTAGAAAATAGGATGATAGGAAATAAATAAATTAAAAGGAAATACATATTTAGGTAAATGAATAGGCGTCATTTACGACAACATAAGCAATGTTGCTTTCCTAGCTCAGTTGGCAGAGCGTCAGTCTCATAATCTGAAGGTCGTGAGTTCGAACCTCACGGAGAGCAATCTTTTTATGGATCAATCTATTTGGCAGCCCATGCCAAATATAGTAATTTTTGCCTCTATTTGGCAGCCTAATTCTGGGGGCTGCCACTTAACTTCGCACTCTTGGGTGGCAGCTGGGCTGCCAAATACATTACTTTTTTTTTTTTTTTTTTTTTTGATAAACAGGGTCATAACATCAGTGGTAAAACAAGCAGCGTTCTGTGGATACATTGCCTTGCACAGCTAATGCCGCCGGAGGTACTAAGGACAGCGGCGATGACATCTTCACAAAACAGCCTTCAATGTACACGGTTAGGGAATGGTTTATTGAAGACGTCTAGGTAGTAGGTGAGACGCGTTTGCTCCGAGCGAAAACCTCTCATAGGCATTGATCTCCAAATGGCACCTCCAAAACTGTATGAGCGACCTACTTGAAAAAAAAAAAAAAAAAAAAAAAAAAAAAAAAAAAGATTAGTTTTCTAAATGAGACAAGACAATGTCACTACACATGACTATGACGTAGAAGACGGGAGCTGTATTAATTTAAAGTATGAGCGTTATATACATATACGGTTCCTAGGAATGAAAAAAAAAAAAAAAAAAAAAATAGTTAGAGGCCAAATAACGCTGGGTAGGCTGCCAAGTAAATAATGAATGTTATTTGGCAACTGGGCTGCCAAAGAGAGTCTTGAAAGTTGATTATATTTGACAATGGGCTGCCAAATAATATTTAGCAACTAGGCTGCCAAATAGATTAATCCTTGTGCAAAAGTCAAGGTAGTGTTCTAGGGGGATCTAAGGGTGCAATAAAGGTATCTTTATTCAGGGGGAACTATGCTACAGAACTAGATAGAAAAGTAGACCTATTTATACTAGTTAATGTCCTGTTGCAAGGAATGCTCTAGAAATATGGGCGAAATACTATGTTGCACAAAATTATTATAGTGATTTCGCTTGCACGTCTTCTTCTACGTCGTAGTTATGCGTTGTGACATTAGCTTGTCTCATTTGGAAAGCTAATGACTTTTTTGTTCATTCAGGTCATTGAATCAGTTTCACATGTGGTCTAAAATGTTGCCCATGACAACTGCTGGACGTCATTTAATGCAAGTAAAAAAAGGACTTTTCTCTCTTTCTTTTATGAACACTTGCTTAACTCTCTCTTAACTATACCTTCACAGAATATGAGACCCACTCAGTGCTCCTATTCGATTCGAACGGTTCGATTCGAATGGTTCGAATGACGCGAATTATTCGAGTAGTGCGAGTGTCGAATGACGCGAATTATTCGAGTAGTTCGAGTGTCGAATGACGCGAATTATTCGAGTAGTTCGAGTGTCGAATGACGCGAATTATTCGAGTAGTTCGAGTGTCGAATGACGCGAATTATTCGAGTAGTTCGAATGTCGAATGACGCGAATTATTCGAGTAGTTCGAGTGTCGAATGGTTTGTCACGAACAGCAAGCAATGTCTAGCTCATGAATTGATGAATGACTTTTGTCTGATTCGAATCTGAAAAAGATCACGTGTGCTTGATTAATTTGTTCCGCTCATTTCCTTCACTCATTCCTCCATGCATAGTTTGCCTGTCAAGCCAAGTCGCGTCTCTTAGTTTTCTAGCTCCGTGAATAGCTCCAAGGATTCTAGAAGAGCTATAAACCAATAACCAAGACTTATAGTGCCAAGGAACCTTGAAATAAGATTGCACCAGATATCTTCCTCGGATCCTGTGTATTAAGTTAACTCAACACTTGGAGTTCCGCATATGGTAAAAGTCCTTAGGAAATATTTGAGTAAGCTTTATTTAGAATTCTTGAAGCGCGTCTCCGCTTCAGTCAAACAAGTATAAATATGATAGATTTGTAACATAGTAAACCTCAGTCTGCAATAAAACTATTCTTGAATCTCCTAAGTTCATTCTTGTTCCTAAATCACTTACCTTCTCTTGCAATCGTCCTGTCAGTCCTTGACAGCGTCTCTATTTATATGTTATTCATGGGCTATGCTTATCAGTGAGTCATAGGGCTGTACCTATCGATGACTCATGGGCTATGCTTATCGATGGGCTATGTTTATCAATGAGTCAAAGGCTATGCTTATCAATGAGTCATAGGCTATGCTTATCATTGAGTCATAGGCTATGCTTTCACATGCTACACTATCATGCAAAACTGATTCAATAATTCATTCCCATGTGCATTTCTTTTTTTCATTCCTAGAAACCGTATATGCATACACCACTCATACTTTGGTTTAATAAAGCTCCCGTCTTCTTCTACGTCATAGTGATGCGTTGTGACATTAGCTTGTCTCATTTGAATAGCTAATGACTTTTTTGTTCATGCAGGTCATTGAATCAGTTTCACATGTGCCCATTCGGTGGCCAAAGATCTTTATTCTTTTGTGAGGCATAACCTTACATCAATAGATAGTATTCCAACCATGGGCATCACTGACAGCTTGGAGTCTCTTATGGATACCTATGATGAGTTTGCGGCAGAAGTCCACTGGGATCCTGTACCATTCAACCGATATTCGCTCCCATAGTTCATCACAGCTCTTAGCTCGCTCCGGATACCTAGAGAGCCGCCTATCCAATTCTGCCCACATGTGTTCAATAGGGTTGAGGTCAGGGGATTGTGCTGGCCACTCTAGAAGTGTACCTTCCTCTTCTGTCAGATGTACTGACTCCAAATACTTCCTAACAATCTTCGCCGTGTGCTTCGAGTCATTGTCGTGCTGAAAGACGATATCGCTTTTAGTTAGGCCCCAGTCATCAAGCGACATCTGTAGATCCTCCTGCAGTAGTTTGATGTAAAGTTGTGCGTCCATATTATTGTCAATCTTTGCAATGTATCCAGGTCCGTACCATGAGAAGCATGACCACACTTTAACATTACCACCCCCAAACTTGACAGTGCCTTGCACCGAACTGCGAGTGAGGCGTCCCGGATTGTCGCCCCAGATCCACTGCACGCCATCAGAGCAGATTCGGTTTATTTTCGATTCATCTGACCAAATAACCTTTTTCCAATCTTCCAGAGTCCATTCCTTATACTTATTGATAAAATGCAAACGAGCTTTAATATGTCGTCGACGTAAAGCTGGCTTATGTACACGCCTCTTTGCTGTCAATCCTAACTCCTTGAGCCGTCGTCTAACGGTGGTCTCAGAAACAGCCGCTGGTATGAGCTGGTTGGCTCTAACGGTGGCCTCAACTGCAGACTTGAGTGTACCTCGTTTCATGTTCACCTTAAGATACTGCATGATACCTCTAGGTACTTTCCTTGGTCGACCGCCTTTATTGACTGGCATGTACTCCTTATTATGTGCATAGATCCTGGTGGCCGTCGCTATTGATATACCAACACTAGCAGCAGTTTCTCTAGTAGACATGCCTCCCATCATTAACCTCCTGGCTTCGTTGACTTTCCTTTGTGGAGTGGGTCTCATATTCTGTGAAGGTATAGTTAAGAGAGAGTTAAGCAAGTGTTCATAAAGGAAAGAGAGAAAAGACCTTTTATACTTGCATTAAATGACGTCCAAAAGTTGTCATGGGCAACATTTTAGACCACATGTGAAACTGATTCAATGACCTGCATGAACAAAAAAGTCATTAGCTATTCAAATGAGACAAGCTAATGTCACAACGCATCACTATGACGTAGAAGAAGACGGGAGCTTTATTAAACCAAAGTATGAGTGGTGTATGCATATACGGTTTCTAGGAATGAAAAAAAGAAATGCACATGGGAATGAATTATTGAATCAGTGTTTTTAATTGTTTTCGCCATTTTAAAAAATGGATTCGCTATTTTCAATTTGAGTTTCTCCAAAGAAACACAAGATTTATCCAATTTAAGCTAATATGTAAAATTATCCCACAAGTTATCCGAATGTGTCTAAAATATTATCAAGTTCTCCAAACTGATAACCGAACCGATTATTAGAATTATCCAAACATCATGTCTTTATTAGCAAGATAGGCGACCAATTTGAGTAACTTTACATACATATTATCCTAAATATTAGCGTTTTTTTTTTTTTTTTTTTCACTGAACTCTCACAGACCTAGAGATTATATTCTCTGTTGAGAGACCTTGGGAAGAAGGTGGTTGCATGACGAATCCAACTTTGACAATCCTTCCGAGATATGGACTTGAATGCGTCCTGAAACCTAGAGCGCATGGTCTCACCAGCCTCAAGGCGGCTCTTCTTGAACGTGTTCTTAACTTTTGACCAGCATTCTTCAATCGGATTCAAGAACGGTGAGTATGGGGGTAGATATTCACAAAAATGCCCTGCTTCTTCTATGAGGTCCCTGACTAGCGGTGCAAACGTGTTATACAATACTGACTCAAACCTTTGAGGAGGGCTCAACTATCACGCGCACCCCAGGCGCCAAGACGCCAAGCCCAAGTGCCAAGACACCAAGCCCCAACCCTATCAATTATCAGTATAAATAGTCCACTACGTTATAGCCAAATAAAGTATCCTTTGACCTTCGATTCCACCTAAGATCACCTTTGATTGTTACTATTTACATGGTAGCAAAGGTTCATCGAACCACCGACCCCGCCAGAAACCGCTTATATTTCCCTCTGATATTTTTCCCTAGATCCCTCTGATATTTTCCTAGATAAAATTTAAAAATTTACCCCTGCATTTGATTTTTTTTTTTTTTTTTTTTTTTTTGCCATGGACAACCTCACCACTTCCTTGAAAGCTCTTAACCTTGATGCCAGTACCAGCCTATCCGTGCAGAACGCTGTGCAAACCTTCCTCGAATCCCGACAGGATAGTGCTTCTAGCGCTGCCGCCTTTAATGACCATGTCCGCACGGTGGCTGCTGTGATAAAACCTACCAAACCAGAACCATACGAGGGAAATGTCGACGCTGTCGCGGTCCTCAACTTCTTGGAGAACCAAGAAGAGTACTTCGAGATCATGGAGCTTAACCACTCCCGTTGGGTCCGATATACCGTTGTCAACCTGAAAGGAGACGCCAAGGCATGGTGG